AGGTCTCATGTGCTCGTCGGCCTAATACGGGTACGGGGCAGCGTGGCGTGGATCGGTCCCGTTCCTGAGCTGGCAAAACAACAACCGGCAAGGGACCCTGGCCAACTGCAGTGAGGCGCCAGTAGCTCTCAACGGGGCCCCTGGCCAGCTGCTATGGTTATGCTGAGGCTATGCCTGATGTATCAGCCTTTTCATCGCGATTTCCAATCGTGACTTTTCTTCCGGCGAATCTGCAGCAATATCGGTTGTTTATTTTGGTTAATTTGGTCTTTGATTTGATGCGTACTTCGCCGCTGTTACTAACTTGTTGGCTCATAGAAGTAAAGGTCGGTTTCACTGCTTGTGAGTGCCAAAGCGGCTACTTGCCCGCGATGCGCAGAGCCCGCTCGCGCCGCGTGCAATTGAAAATTGCTGCTACTGTCATTGTTATTATTTTCATTATCATTGAGGATATATATATATATATATAGCAAGAATATTGTTATTCCTCTTGATGTTGTTGTTCTTCTTGTTGTTGTTGCTGCTGCTGTTGCTGTTGGCCGCGGCGCAACGTAAACGCGCAAAACCGACATGTGGATTCCATCGGTGCGGCTGCTGTCGGTGTTGGTGTTGGTGTTATCGGTCGTCATCGTTGCTTTATTGTGCGGTTACTTGTGCATGTCAAAGAAGCCATGGCAAGCATTTGCATACTTAACCAAGCTTTGTGATTGCTGCTCTTGGATGATCGGGCCTGTTCCGGATCAGTTTCCCTGCGCAATCAGAATGTTGCTGGCAAAGGGCTGTGGTGCATGCTTCGTTGCAAGGAGAGTGCTGCGGCGGCCAGGAAGGAAAGGGAGGCGGAGAGGCCGGTGCCTCCGAAGTCCCACCAAATGACACAATGGACTCGCAGCAGACCGCCTGTGGAAGCAGAGCTGCATACATGTATAGTCATGCAGGCACCAGCGGAAGCACATGTACAGCATGCAGAACTCAGCGACCTTGATATCATGGCTCAAGCCTTGCGGAAGCAAAACAATGATTGCGCGCCAGTGCGGAAAGGTGTCCCTTTTGCACCGCCACACTGATAGTCGAACGACAGGCAACTCAGCGAGTCTTCCGCCACCAAGGTTCAGGCGTGGGGTAGGGAAGACTGTCGCCTTTGCACTCAAATAGTGCAGCTCTTGTCATCAACAGGCTCTGGTGCGTGGGAGGCTCGTGAGAAACGGCTTGAGGCAGCTGTCCGTGTGTCATGAGCATGGCTAGACCGAAGAAGAAGCTGTTCAGTTCCATCTGTGTCAACAGGAGGCAGTCCGATGCCGCAACTCGAGTTCAGGTGCCTGTTTGGGGCTTGCTAGGGCGCGCTTGGTCAAGGGCTTCGTGTCTCGTTGCAGGCTTTTGCAAGGATGAGAGTGGCCAAGCACAAGGTGAACTCTCTACGTCAGGCGGCAAGGCTGCTTGGTGTGCATTCGCGCTGAATGAGATCCCCAGTTACTTATGATACATGCACAACGAGAGCCTAATGGCTTAGTAGTGCAAGTATGTGTAAGTGTG